TCAAGAATGTGTCCGGTGAATTTGAGTCCGGTACGACGGTCGTCAGCAATAGTGTGTGGTTCGTGTATTCCAAACCATTCAGGGAAGCGAGGAGGGTGTCCGTTGCATTGTAAGAAGCAACTGGAAGGGTATGTCCGTCCAAGGCGATCAAGTATGATACATTACTGGCGCTTCCCGTAAGATCAATACCTGTACCTGTTTACCGATCCGACGATAAATGTCGTCGTGCGTTATGTGCCGAACGCGAGTACATACCATTCCACAGAATCGCAAAACTCACGCCATTGAGGTTGGTGTAGTGGTAGCTCGTGCCCACGCCAACCTGACCAGGCGTGTCGGCGGCCCCCGAGCCTGTATACTGCAGTTGCCATCCGGCAGTGAGATTTTGGCTGGGCTCCAGGTTGGCGGAGGGAAAGTACGCCACTTCGGGGGACTCATTGCCGATCGATAAGGTGGATGAGTTGCCCGCCATTCATTCAATCCTGGGGGGGGGAACGCGAGTGCGTGGGCGGGAAAGAGAAAAGAGGGTAAACGGGTGGAATGGCGCCGAGAGAACGAGACTACATGAGACGCCCGAGAAGCCGGCTGCAAAAGCCTCGAGGAGGGTGTCAACGACACCGAAACAGAGAATACATCAAAAATAGACAAAAATATAATATAATATAAAATAAGAAAAAGAGAGGGAAGGCGAGATGCCTTCCGAGTGACCTGAGACCGGCACCTGGAAGTCTGTACAGGATCGTTGTTGGACCTTGGCAGGCAGGTCCGAACCACGTATGCATGTTAGTATGTTGCCACGCTTTTAGTTACCATCAACTGACGACGACCGGTGCAGCGTTGTCATGATGTATCGTGTTAACTAGACAACTGACCTTCTTCCCCCCGCTTTTTACGCAGAATGGTATCCCCAAATTTAACGGACGTCGACACCTTACCCAAACCAGGGACACAGTTTTTCCTGCCCTCCCTGTTGGCACATGTACGTGCCGCGCTGCCAGGTCTGCCCCTAGAGCCCGTGATAATACAGGTCCTGCTACTCTGCATCACATCCGGCGATAGAAATCTCATCCTCCGCACTCGTGACGACGACGTCGACCTCGTCGCAAAGCTCACGACCCTAGTAAGTTCACAATACATTCCCTGAGACACCGGTGTCCCGTTCAAGCTTTTCCGCTGCCCCTCCAGGCCCTTGGCTCAGTATTTGGCTACAATGTTCACAGAATCAAATATCGCACGGATGCAGGCGACCAGATGCCATCTCAGATTCTACGGTCCCTATTCCTTCCTTCGGCAGTCACTGCTGGCGTAGATTCATTTCGTAAAAATCGAGAGAGACATCGTCGGATGTCCAACTCACGCAATTCTAGTGGAAAGCAAGCCCATCATGATGCAAGCTACGGCCAACTTGGGTCATAGCAAGACGAATTCCTTCTCTCGCTCTGCATCATACCCGGGTCATCGGTGGCCATCAACTTCCGCTCCGCAACAAAGGAGTCCGGACTCTGAACCCCACAATGTATTCGCAGTACCCATAGCCAATCTCAAACGGCCCAGTCTTCATTCCTTTGGCGTGCAAACTGAACTGTCCGTCCCAACCGTTGTTTCCGACGGGAGGTCACATCCAGACAAATTATCGCATGCGAGCACGGACAACTTCAGGGTACCCGCCGCAATCGTTGTATCTGGCCTTGAGCATGCGAGTCTCCAATCTCAGAAGGCCATTCTTCGTACACTTGCAGTCAGAAAGCTTGCTTTTCCTTTGGACAGGACTTCAGACACCGATCAGGTGTTTGATCTACCCGAAAATTTCATCTTAATATACATCTGTCGGCTCGATACTCGAGAGAGACCGCCTATCTACAAAAGCCTCGTATGTTTCCTCCATATTCCGGACTAACCGTATTTCAAAACATCTCTCCGGTCAGCTGGACAGATTTGCAATGAGCTCTCCAGTCAGCATTGGCCAGCAAACCCGTCTGGCCATGCGACAATTCCGTCTGCCTTCGACTCAGTCGTCAGCGCTACCATCACCGTCCACCTCTGGAGCATCCGCGGCTTTTTTCGTCCCTCCGACGGCTCCATCGACGCTTCCCACTACCCTTCCTGGAATACCACCAATATCCTCATCTTTTCTCCGCCGTCTGAAAGACACTCGTGCACATCACACTTACGTGGGTGCGTCACTGGATACGTACCTGGCAGATCTTTTTACCGCCACTCGCCACTTCGGTTCACTGGATGGCACCTTACTCACCGTACGTGCGCGGAAGGATGCTGAAGCGCTCATCCGTGCATCCCGTGTACTTGGCATTGACCCTACTGGTGCCGAGTTTATTAAGGAAGTAGCTCACGGTGTGCCCCCACCCAGCGACACATGTTCGACTCAGCGAAGCTATCCCGCTTCCCACTCCAGTGCGAGTTTGTCTTCTGAAGCACTACTGGATTCTGCCGACGCCCCACAGATTCGGGAGCCGTCCCTAGCTACCAGTGTGGAGCGCAGCTCGGCAGGTATTTTTATACAAGACGATGCTTCGGATTTGGACGTTTCGGAGGCCGATATCGCGCGAATGTTTCCCAGAGTAGTATCTCATCGTGTGAGGGTAAGGGACACGCCCTTTGACGAGGTTCTCAGCAGTGTGGTTTGCGGTAACATGTTCCAGCCTGCTGCTGTCAGAGACGGCGGCCTGGTGTGGGAGAGGGATACGGTGAAAGATATCTTGATTCGCATCCTGTCGGAGGTTTGACGATGCATTTACGCTTTCGTGATGAGTTGTAATAAAACTACGTACTCGGTGCTATTCCATCGATGATAGCGCCAGCTTCATTCAGTAAGCGTGCCCCCACGGTTTACCAGCCACCGGTCTCTGCAGCCTAGTTCTCAACATCATAGATGACCAGCTACCCACCTTCATCACAAGCGGGGTCTGCTTCAAACTCGTCAGAACTCACGCAGGAGCAGCCGACACTCGCCAGTCATCCAACCCCCGGGCTCCCAAATCAGACACAGCTGCCTACCCACCAGCAGAATCTGCAATATGTTCAGGATCAACCGCACACACAAACGACGACGTCGGCGGCACGACAGAATCCCGCGCAAACGTATTACGCGATGGGATACCCGCCGGGAAGTTGGCAGAATACGGCCTGGCAGCTCTCTGGCTACCCCTACGCTACCACCGGAAGCGCTCCTTACCAACAGACACACTACGCTCAGATTCCGTACACCCAATACCAGTCATATCAGTACACTCCTCCCGCCCGCCCGCGCACGAAGTTGCAACCCAAACTGAGGACCCCGACACCCGAACCTACATACCGACATTGGGACGAGGTTATACGTGCATTTTTGAGGAAGGTAGGACTGAGCCAGGCACTGAAAGGCTTCGAGGATGACATGGTTGTCATGAATGAAGATTGGGAAAGGAAGGTTGTACCTGGGGCAATTGGGGAATTGGTACGGGACATGATGGTGCGCGCCATCCCCTGAAGATGATCACCAAGGACTCAGTCCCCTCACATGACACAGACCTTGGGCAAATACAAGGATGGGGAGAAACCACAAGAACGTCTTTTGGAAGATCGAAAGTTGGACTACATTCATTTGAGTGGTGGCCAGCAACCTCGCTCTCAGAGCACAGTAAATATAATCCTTCCTTTCTCGATAGTAAACTCGTTCATCTGCGTGCCCCTTAGATCACAAAGTCGGTTTCGCAGTTTCTCGCGGAAAACCGCGCAAAGAACGACGCCTCTAATCGCTCTGAATTTCTCCAGTCCATCGCAGAAAAGCGCCGTCGACTTGATATTCGTGAGGATGTAGACGAGACAATTCCATCTTGCGCACGAACAGATATGAAACAACTCGATCGTGAAGTACAAATGAAATACGATATTGCGAAGAATGAGGACGGCCCGTTACGAAGGACTGTGCAGGGAGTCAACAGGAAGGAGGACACAAGAGAAACCAGTTGCCCTTTCGGACGGGTCAGAGAGCAAGGATCACCCAGCTCTCGACGAAAGACTGAAAAACATCGAAGCTCATTTGGCTGTGCGTTATGGTATGAAGTGACTTATGTATCTTCAAGGATATATTCTGAAGTGGACAGTACCTGCACCCCCGCGCAGTTTGCTTTCCCGCTTGCAATTCTTGGAAGATCATATCATACAACTTGAGAAGGAATACCCCCCATGGGCAGCTTTACACTTTATTCAACCTCACCGCGAAGTACGCCCTTGTATATTCTTGAAACAATTTGCCATCTGTCCTCTAATTTACTTTTGCAGTGGCCCCCTCCTCCACGCCAGACCCCAATAATCGTGCCCTCGCATCTTACCACACAAGAGGCACCTGCCGAATCTACCACAGTACATCCTATGACCACAGGTTCTGGCTCGCCTTTGGATGATCCATCGACCAGCCTTGCAAAGGGAAAGGCAAAAACTAAATCGAGTCTACACCGTGCTGTCATGGAGAAACTCGAAGTACAGAGAGCGATGAGCGACTTGGCCGGACTAAGAAAGGGTGGTGGATGAAACAAGCTCGGAACGTGAAAGTAAATTTTCATGGAAGATTTGCACTCGATCTCCATTCTCCTTTACGAGATGCATTCGACATCGCCTCCGGCATCCAACCAAGGCTTTGGCCCTGCTGCTGACTGTAATCTGCATAATTCTTGTGTGTCAGCGTGTTCGCTTGGCGTGACTGCGCCTTCATACAGATCCGTCGGGATGTCAGGACCTGGATCAAGGCAACGGTATGTACTTACGAAAAAAGAATGCTCGCCCTGTCGCAGGTGCAAGGTTTAGTGTTGTCTGCGACGAACGCCCGCGAAAATGAATATAGCCTTCATATGGAACTAATGTGGTCAGGCGAATGGAGAGAATTTATCTGCGACGTGTATTGGTCGCTACTTGCGAGTTCACCCTTGCCTGTGTCAAGTTGTGCGCCTTGCGACGGTGAGCCGACGGTCCCGAGTTGTAAGGTCATGCACGTGAAAAAGTAAAGGCCCTGCCAGGACTCGAACCTGGGTTACAGGAATCTCTGCGTATTCCATCAGAATCCTGTGTGATGACCACTACACTACAAGGCCCACCCTTGTCTGACGTGGAGAGACGGCTTAGATGACCGAAACAGATGTTCACCGTGGACCACCGCAGTTGAGTGGTTTCGAATCGATCAACCTTGGGTAGCCTTGGCAGTCGGACCACATATCCCATGTGCAGTGGTGCCGAAAACGCGGCTGCCATCTGCCCTTGCCACCTACACCATGACCACAAACCCTTCACATATCCTCATCGCTCGTAGTTCTCGAGGGAACAACAACCCTTCTGCTTCCCTCAGCTCACCTACTGAAACACACGCAGCCGCGGCAGGCATCTTCCGCTCTTCCAGCTCCCCTCCCTGGAATCACCAAGAATATGAAGCAGAAGACCCAGTAACAGACCTCAACCTCAGTGATACGGATAAGGCCATCGAAATAGATCAAACCTTCACCCGCGACGGAACATTCCCTGGAACCGTCAAAATAATCGTAGAGAGTACGACGTTCTGGTGGGTCTAATATTAAACGGTCCCATCGAAGTGGCATTTAAACGCTAGTGCCGTCACATGGCAGGGCACATAAGGAAGTCCTGTATTTCGCCTCTCCGTTCTTCCAGGCTGCCCTGAGCGGAGGATGGCTCGAAACTGGCCGGCCACCCTCGCTATCTTCCATGATCACAATTTCTCGTCCTACAGATCAGTCCTGCTGTCGTCCGACTCTCATCTCGGCTTCCGATCATGACAAGCAGGAGGCCATTAGCGACACCGCGTCGGATTCGTCGTCTCCCGTCGAAGTCGAGCACCCGCCGGCAAGCGGCAGCGACGCTAGTACGAGTGATGCCAGCGAGAGTGAACTCGAAGAAGTAGGCGACTGCAGATCCCGTGAACGGAGAGTGAAACTTGCAAAGATTCGTAATTCTGGCCAAGTCTCCGAATATGATGCAAATGGCAAGGGGCAATGCCACAGATATCCGTCATTCTGTATCTTCGAGTTCACGAACTACGCGCAAGGTTATTAAAAACCGTAGGAAAGTAAGCGCGCAAGATGCAGTCATTGTTCTCAAAGAAGAGAAGGTGATCTCTCTCGTTAACCCATGCCCTCACGACGACTGAATATGTCCAGGCCAACATTTTTCATGATTTTCTCAAATACGTATATCCTCAGTATGTGCTTCTCGGAGTTCTGCCAAATGTGGCGTTGACTAGATTTATCAGCCTCCAATGCAATATTGCATGGAACAATGTGGAGGGTCTCATGAACATCTCCCACAAATTCTGTGTGCCAACACTTCAGCAAGACTGTCTCAATTTCCTCCTTACGCACGCAGCGGGAAAGCCCATCAAAGCTATGCGTATTGCGGAAATTTTCGAGGAAGAGGAACTCTATTGCGAGGCGAGTCGTTTTGTACTCGACAACCCTGGCGGATGGTCGGAAGAAGAATTGAGTACGTTAAGCCAGGAAACCCTCCTCAAGCTAGAGAAGCGGTAGGTTTCATATGTGAAACATTTCATCCGTCACACCTTCTAGAACTATTGCATGTAAGGCGGAACTGGTTCCTCGAACGGGTCCTCAAACTCGGTCTCACACCCTTGGCCAAAGAGTATCAATGCGTACGTTTTTAAATTTTTATTGGCGTATGGGCGAGGGTTTTCTTAGACGAGCTTCTAAGTGCGCCACTTGTCTGGACCCTTCCAACTGTGCTCGGTTACTCGAGGAGAAATGGAGACAAGCCTATAATGCTGTTTTTCGGTTTGGTTCGTGCATCAAAGTACCCGTTCAAGAATTCCTGATACGAACAAATCTGCACTAGGTCTTTGCCAGCCTTCGATGGTTTACCGTTACCTGAGGAATCTCGAAGGAGTCAGCCCCCCACTCACCCTTACTCATCTTGCTTGCCAGGCCACCGCCAAGGCGTTTACTGCCTACACGTAGGCCATCTTTTTGTTCGTGTTAGTTTCAAATTTCATCACTGTCGGAACCCACAGTTTTCGACCGCATGTTCTCCATTCGCAGCGAGGCTGCCGTTGCGTCCTTGAGTGGTGGTGGTGGTCGTGTCGCTGCGGCTGCGGCAACAGCTAGCAGTCCTCGTCGCCACTTCCTCTACTGCACACTGAAACCCGAGAAGGCTGCTCCACGTACTCGCCGTTCACGCGAGCTTCTGTAAATTTCTTGGTACCCTCATTCATACCTAGTCCTAAGGCACTCGAACTCGTTTGGTCAGTTAACTCGCAGCCTAATGAGTTTGACGTCAGCAGTACTATATTCCGTTCAGTTCGGTTCCCACAACTAGAATGTATTTCTGAATAAGTTCATGTTGTATACATACCCTCCTAAATCACCCGTTGAGCGTATCGAAAATGGGTATCTATCAAATGGAATAATAAATCCGATGGAATGGCTGACAACCAATTATGACTGAAACAAAGCTATGTCGAGGGTCAAATAGCAGTGACGAATGCAGGGTACATAGGTTGGGAAGTGGAAGGAATCCCTCTGAGGAACGAGGGAACCGTAATCCGATACTAGAATGTGATGTGATGCCAATCCGGCACCATAGAAAACCTGGAGGGGGATATAGTTGCAACCGACAATGAAAATACGAAGCTTTGGTCGAGTACGCAGAATACAATAACATAAACAAACAATTGTCCAAGAGACGGGGATCGAGAGTCGCGAGGGAAGAAAACGAAGTGGAGGGAAAGTCGGACAGCAATGTCAGGGCTATGGCGGGAAGATGGTAACGGCGTTATCCACCAACCACTCCACCATCAACGCTTTGCCGGCCATGTCACTGAATTCCGACCCGGGGTCTCTCGACGACATGAGCGTTGCTAATGGGTCCAAGTTAGCCATTGTAGTGGCTTGCAATGACACTACTTACGTCCAAAGACGACACCAAGGTTACGAGCCGTCATTAGGTTTTGATCGCTATGTTCCCGCACGCTGCAAATAAATGTCAGGAGTGGCGACATGCCAGATCCGCGAACAGACATACCGATGCAAATGTAGCACTAGGAAACGCAACGTATGGTAATGTTCAGGGGGGAGCCGATCCACAAGTTCCTGGAGATGTTTTGCCTTGAGAGCGGGATCTTTGAGTCCAGCAGCAGAAATGAACTCCTCGTGTAAGTCGAAAGTCAATAGTGGTACCGGCAACGAGCGGAAGTAGGTCTTTAACACCGATGTCACACTGCAGATATCGTTGAACCGGTCAGTATCTCGAAGATCGAACGTGGTATAATCCTGCCGCTCGAACAACTGGGTGATAATCTTCGTCTGACCATATCCTCCAGTTTTGCGGTAGATGCCCTCGTAATCTAGTGCGACCGCCTCCACGGCCTCTATACATTTCTCGACAATTACAGGGACCTTGCGTTCACCCCACCGACAGTCCGATTTGACTTGCTCAACAAGGTCGCGGCCGAACATAGTCGGCACTATCACTTCCCTGAGCATAGTTTTTACACACAAGTGGGAATGAAACGTACGTGGAACGACATGTCCATTCACGTCATCTCGGTACCGAGGTTGATGAGTGCATAGCAACTGAACATGATTCATGCAGCGCGAGTGGACGCTTATGTGGCAATCTAATGTAGCACAGTTAAGGATAAACGTAATGATAGAACGTTATTGGAAGTATCAATACCCACTTGAGCAACGGAACTGTGAGGTTGCCCACAGTTTATCCCCGCAGTGATCGCAACGCGCAAACCGTAAAGTACTTGCTTGCTGGAAATTATGCTCCAAGTGTATCTTGCCCCTGTGATCAGACGGATACGTGGCAGGTTCTCTCGTCCGTGATCCGGGCCACTTAAACTTGCCGGATCGGAGTGTTGATATTGCATCTGATTGGTCGGGCTTCGGAGTGCGGTTGCCTTTCTCCCTGTCTTCAACGACAGCATTGGTGCTCTGTGTGGAGCTGGCGCTGAGGGAATGTTGCACTAGTGTAGGAGTCTCCGGGACATGGCGAAGTCGATCAAGAGACATGCTCTTCTTTCTACGTAGCTTGTTCGTATCGTCATGCATCGGTGGTGGTGATATATCCAACACAGGGTGTCTCGGAGCGCGCAACCTCCACGCGACGTGCATACTGTGTGCTGAGTTGAGCAAGCTCTTCATTTCGGGCGTTGAGGACGGTGGTCTCCTCCAGGAACTGGTCTCGTGATGCTTTGAGCTCGGTAATCTCGCGCATTAGACACTCTCGTTGTTCACTAAGGGGTATAAGCTCGTGTTTGTACTGGGACTTGAGGCTGTCCAAACGCATAGCAAGCGACCTGCTGATGTGCGTAGCGGGCACTTCACCGCAGGCAGCAGCACTGGATGGATGAGAAATTAGCTGCAAGGATGAAGTGTGCTAGGGAAATACCTCTTTGATGAATAGAGCTCCTCCATCTCCGCCAGAGTCAAGTCTCGTTCTACTTTCAGTCTAGAGAAGTCCTTCCCCAAGTGGATGAGGTCCTTCGTGAGCTCCTCTGACATATTTTTGCGCACTTCCAATTTCTTGCTCTCGCCGCTCAGTGCTGTCAATTTGGCTGCCTGGCCAGAAAGTAGTACCCGCAGGCGAATAATCTCTGCCTCAGCATTTCGACGAGCGACCAACTCGCGATCGTATTCTTTCTGAGCGACTGTGAGGCCGTGCATATACTGTTGGCTGGCTCTCTAAGATAACCATCAGCAGATTTCGCGAACGAGGGGGTATGGCGGCAGTACCTTCGTTCCGTCATAATGGGACTTGAGATCATGATACTCCACATGCCTTTGTTCCATGGCCGACATGATAGTTTCCATGAATGACTTGTTCAACCGTAGCTGTGACGACCCCTTTTCATTTGTATCCGCCAATAATTCCTGCAAGTCTCTGCAGAACGACTTCATACGGTTCGCTCGAAACTGGGGTTGGTGTCGTCGACTCCGGAGTGGTGAGCGTGATCTGCGCCGCAGACGATAACACGTTGAGTGAAGCATTCGAGGTAAGCCGGATCCTCTCTGGAGCGCCGGAGTCACTTGCCAACGACGGAGAAAGCGACTCAGGAGGCGGCATGATC